AAGATTTACTAAGTCTCAAAAACCTACTTCCTCTTAAAATAAATAATATAAGTATATAGAATATAATAAGCAAATACCCAAGATATCAAAACCAAGAGTTTGGCTTATTAGTAATTTGCATTTCCTGATGCTGATTGGTGTTGGTATGGGTAATCATAATATTTCCTAGTATCGGATAGTTGAATTGTTAGATGCCCTGAACTTTCGCAGGCATGGTAGTCGATATCATCGGTGGGAGACGTCATCCTAAAAATTTTCTGTCCAACCTTTGTTCCATATACCTTCTCATTGTTATAATTCATATCGCTCTATCCTCATCCTCTAAATCCGCTATATTTGACAAACGCGCCCTCGTGTCGTCGTTCGTCCCAATGTCCCCTTAGTATGTCACTTCAGATGGATTTAATAAAACGTAATCACTCTCACCACCTGTTTCAGATGCCGTTCGCAGGAGTTCTGATATCTAAATAGCACTTCCTTACAGCCATCTGCTCCCACCATTACCTGAATATAAAGAATCCAGAAGCTCAAGGAAGTTGGTGAATAAATGTGAAAAATCATAAACTATGTCCGATCATAATCCTTTCTTAAGGCAGCTCAACCTACCTGTCTAGACTTGAACTCTCGTGCCAAGTTTCCGTCTGCCATCAGCCGTGACTGATTATCTGGAAAATCGTCTTCTTGTTCGTTGAAATCCTCCTCATCCTCGTAGTCTCCATCTTCTCCCATCATCTCAATTGGCAGTCCAGAATGTCCAACCATGCCATCCGCAGAATAACCGTTGTCCAAAGATGTAGTAGCGCTTAGCCCAGCCGCATCCCCATGTACAACCCCTCCCATCCCTTCTTCATCTTCGTAGTCGCCAACAAAGCCAGCATCAGCGGACGCAGCCTCTACATCGCCTTCTACATCATCATCATAATCTGCATCGACCTTAGCCCCATCTACGTCATCTGAATAGGTTTGGCCGATCTTCTCCTCACTATCTTCACTTGCTCCACACTCAGGATGTACTGCGTCTTCTGATTCAAGTAATCCAAAAGCCTTTCCTCCCGATGGTTTGAAGCGCCTGGTTGCAAGGGCGACTTTGCGCCCAGCAAGACGAGGTGATACAACCTTGGCAAAAGCAGCATTTCCAGATGCAACAGAAGCCGCCCCCCTCGACCCGGATGAAAGAAGATTGATCAGAGCTGGGGAAGGTAAGACTATAGGAATAGAAGTGGTCATAGAGAGCTCCAAGTTCCTCGAAATCTGAGAGATATGACGGCAAGTACTACATATCATCAAGCTGCCTAGAGTTGCCTCAAGTCTGGCCGACGTGATGTTACCTAGCGACGATGCAAGACCAAAGTGACCGCCGCCAACGCCGCCTGCAGGAAGAGGCATCCCACTGGCTGAGACCTGTGGTGAGGAACTAGGAATACAGGAGGATGAGACAGGTAGAGATGTCGCGTTCGCATCATTGGAAACCTGTGCTAAAGAAGCTGCACTGCTTAAAAGAATAGGGAATACGAATAAGCAGTGAATAAACGATGGTTTATGGAATAACAAAAGGCGGTCTAAGTCTAACAAAATCAAACTAATAATCCACGTATGAAAAGTATTAAACAGCTTAATAATGATAGGTCATTAAACCGGAGTTAGAAAGATGCTCTTATTTGTCACAAGTAGTGGTGGCGAAATAGGCCAATAAAGTTTATTAATTCATTATGAAAGAGACCGCGCAACAGAAGCTTAATTAGAAAGACTATAAAAAAGTCAAGTATACAAAGAAGAAAGGATAGACGTAGATATAAACAAATAGAAGACAACACAAATGATTGTAAGCTCCTACCTGGATAAATTAAGAGTTCCGCTTCGTCTCCTTCTACTGTTAAACGAAAGAATGGCATTACTAGAATAAGTGGTAGTGACGCCAGTGCCAATTGCGATGTTCGAATCCCCACCCTCAGCAAATAAGCCTGGGACCGAGGCCTCCTCAAGAAGGCAAGTTAGATGATAGGGACAGGCACAACCAGCACAAACGGACAATCCTGTAGTAAGTGAAGTATTTGTGCTGCTACTGCTTGTGGTTATGCCTGCACTAGAATGAGGGCCAGCACCAGAATCTCCAGGGCATAGAGCTGAATGAGACTGGCGGTCCAAAGGAACCGAAGTAGTCCCAATTCCATCAAAGGTGGGAGCAGGCGCTTTAGAATAGGCTAGTACTGAGGTGGTCGCGGGTATAGTCAGAGTCGCAGAGTACGTTACGGACGTTGGAACCGCAGACTGGCAAGAACGAATTTGAGTATCAGGAGGTAGGCTAGGAAGAAAGTATAGAACAAAAATATAATACAAGTGTGGCCTATCTGTAGTGTTGTCCAGACGAAAGATTACCTGGACAAATGAAATGTATTGGGAGGCAAGACAGCTATTCAAGCTCCAATTATGCATCCCAAACAAGAAAACAGACCATTCGAGAGAAAGAAAAGAAAACGAAGAGGATCGTGTTTTTATCTCGGCAAATTACAAGAAGTCACATGTGAATTAATAGAGAATTCGTGTAGGCATTTTGAAAGGAGCAAGATAAAAATAATTAGTCAATAAGCTTGATGATTGGAGGGGTAAAACGAGAGGATCTTCCAATAAGAGCAAATAAATGGTGATAAATAGTGGTCAAACGAAGCTTAAAAACCAAAAGGCTTATTCATAAAGACAAAAGATGATTATAATAAGGCGTAAGCCTTGTGCTTCTATGAAATCGAGACAAGGGGACAAGAGTGGAGAGGAAACAATGTTAACTCTGCACGGTATTCAACCTGTAAGCCGTGGAAACAGCCTTAGGTCAAATGAGACAGTGTAGACTCAAAGCACGCATAATTTAATGAGCATATCAAAGCTGGATTCTTATATATTTAACAAAAGATAATTGCGTATATTAGCACACTTAAAGCGAATCATCTTACGACTAGCTATTTGTATTTGGCCAAGAGCATCTGATTGGAGAAACGACCAAATGTGTGTAGTTTGTCGGCTAGAGGGCAAAAAACAAGCAATTGATTTTCGGAGCTTGTATTTTATGAGATTATCAGTAACTTTTGAAAAAAACCTAAGCAACTCGAGGGATTGGCATTGGGATATTTCTACAATGAAATGAATAAGACACAAGCTACCATTAAATTTTACTTGTATATTTTTCCATAAAGTTTTATCATCAAGGATTATCAGCAACTGCAGTTTATACCTCGCCAAAGTCCCGCTAGCACCCTTAACTGGATTTGAAGCCGAGACTCATGCATAAAATAGTGATACATTACCTTTCCACTCCATAACCATGAATGCTAAGGTGTCATATCTAACTCACTTGTCTAATCAAGGATTCCACAATAAATGTGATTTGAGGCCTGGCTTGTCTTGAAAGTCACATATGCTCTAGCGCTCACTTACACTCGTGGCTGTGGTAATGTTAACGGGCCACAACTTTACACATAACAATCGACTTCGAATCTCGTTGGGGGGTTATAAAGAAAATAAGGCAAGGTTGAAATTGTAGCTC